CCAGACACACCAACCCTACACCCAGACACACCAACCCTACACCCAGACACACCAACCCTCCTACACCCAGACACACCAACCCTACACCCAGACACACCAACCCTACACCCAGACACACTAACCCTACACCCAGACACACCAACCCTACACCCAGACACACCAACCCTCCTACACCCAGACACACCAACCCTACACCCAGACACACCAACCCTACACCCAGACACACCAACCCTACACTCAGACACACTAACCCTCCTACACCCAGACACACCAACCCTTACCCTACACCCAGACACCCAGACACACCAACCCTAGACCCAGACACACCAACCCTACACCCAGACACACCCAACCCCTACACCCAGACACACCAACTCCTACACCCCGACACACCAACCCTCAACATACACCCAGACACACCAACCCTCCTACACCCAGACACACCAACCCTCCTACACCCAGGCACACCAACCCCTACACCCAGACACACCAACCCTACACCCAGACACACCAACCTCCTACACCCAGACACACCAACCCCCTACACCCAGACACACCAACCCTACACCCAGACACACACCCTCCTACACCCAGGCACACCAACCCTACACCCAGACACACCAACCCTACACCCAGACACACCAACCCTCCTACACCCAGACACACCAACCCTACACCCAGACACACCAACCCTACACCCAGACACACCAACCCTCCTACACCCAGACACACCAACCCTACACCCAGACACACCAACCCTACACCCAGACACACCACCCTACACCCAGACACACCAGACACCCTCCTACACCCAGACACACCAACCCTACACCCAGACACACACCCAACCCTACACCCAGACACACCAACCCTACACCCAGACACACTACAACCCTACACCCAGACACACCAACCCTACACCCAGACACACCAACCCAGACACACCACCCTACAACCCAGACACACTACCCTACACACCAGACACACCAACCCTACACCCAGACACACCAACCCTCCTACACCCAGACACACCAACCCTCCTACACCCAGACACACCAACCCTACACCCAGACACACCAACCCTCCTACACCCAGACACACCAACCCTACACCCAGACACACCAACCCTACACCCAGACACACCAACCCTACACCCAGACACACCAACCCTACACCCAGACACACCAACCCTACACCCAGACACACCAACCCTACACCCAGACACACCAAACCCTACACCAGACACACCAACCCTCCTACACCCAGACAACCAACCCTACACCCAGACACACCAACCCTCCTACACCCAGACACACCAACCCCTCCTACACCCAGACACACCAACCCTCCTACACCCAGACACACCAACCCTACACCCAGACACACCACCCCTACACCCAGACACACCAACCCCCTACACCCAGACACACCAACCCTACACCCAGACACCACCAACACACCCACACACCAACCTACACCCAGACACACCAACCCTCCTACACCCAGACACACCAACCCTACACCCAGACACACCAACCCTCCTACACCCCAGACACACCACACCCTACACCCAGACACACCAACCCAACCTACACCAGACACACCAACCCTCCTACACCCAGACACACCAACCCTACACCCAGACACACCAACCCTACACCCAGACACACCAACCCTACACCCAGACACACCAACCCTACACCCAGACACACCAACCCTACACCCAGACACACCAACCCTCCTACACCCAGACACACCAACCCTACACCCAGACACACCACCCTACACCCAGACACACTAACCCTACACCCCAGACACCCAACCCTACACCCAGGACACACCAACACCACCCTACACCCAGACACACCAACCCTACACCCAGACACCCAACCCTACACCAGACACCTAACCCTACACCCAGACACACCAACCACCCTACACCCAGACACACCAACCCTCCTACACCCAGACACACCCACCCCTAAACACAACCCATACACACCACCCTACACCCAGACACACCAACCCTACACCCACACCTAACCCTCCTACACCCAGACACACCAACCCTCCTACACCCAGACCCTACACACAACCCTCCTACACCCAGACACACAACCAACCCTCCAACACCCAGACACACCAACCCTCCTACACCCAGACACACTAACCCTACACCCAGACACACCAACCCTACACCCAGACACACCAACCCTACACCCAGATACACCAAACCCTCCTACACCCAGACACACCAACCCTCCTACACCCAGACACACCAACCCTACACCCAGACACACCAAACCTCCTACACCCAGACACAACACCAACCCTACACCCAGACACAAAAACCCTCCTACACCAGACACACCAACCCTCCTACACCCAGACACACCAACCCTCCTACACCCAGACACACCAACCCTACACCCAGACACACCAACCCTCCTACACCCAGACACACCAACCCTACACCCAGGCACACCAACCCTCCTACACC